CAGGAACTCAGCGATACCATATTTGACCCGTGTTCTAAGTGATAGAGACGGTGTTAAGCGCGAAACCTATGACTTGCTTTGTTGTTAATAACATAATTTTGGCCCTTTTATTTCTCCCTTATTCTCTCTTATTCCTATAGTGAACAACCTTCTTAAACATACTTTGCTACCTGAAATTATTAACATTGGCTTACTTTTTGGTTCTTTATTCTATTCCTTCTTTTGTGTAACTACTGGTTCCGACTATATTATCACTATGGGTATTACAATATTGTCCTGTCACTAACCATCATGTAATATTAGTTTTGTGATTGTTTTTTTTTGTTCGGCAATATTAAACTGACCACCTTGGTTGTGAACGCCATTATCACCATCCTAAAATTTTTGTATTATGCATGACTACTCACGCTACCACTACAAACACCGCATTAGAGCTGACAATAAAAAAACCTGAAATGTTTATTTTATGATTGTTTAGTGTTGCTCAATCAAATTAACTGATCATCTTGGCTATAAACATTCATAAGAACATCTCATAACTTCTTGTATGATTATAGCTGTTACTGTTCACCACGCATACGCATATCATAGCTTCTACTATCCAATACTGAAGTATTATTTATTATTGTTGTTTATTTTCCTTTCTACTTGGTATTTTTTTCTGCATTTTTTTGTTATTTTTTTTTAATATATATTTTTTGAACTACTCCTTTTAAATGTGCGATGAAATTAGATGCAATATTGTAGATATATGGTGAAAATTCCACACTGTACCACTAGTACTGTTTCTGGAATAAAAGCGAAATTATTATTCATATGGTACTTATATTTTCATTGCAGTAGATCAGATTCAAGATGAAATTCTCATTAATCAGAAGATTTCAAGGTGTGATATATATATATATATATATCGTTGCAACGTTTCTCGTTCATCATCAGGTAGTTCCTATAAAGCATGTGTTCTCTGTGATATGTTTAGCTCAAGTTCGGATAAGCGTGAGTGGATGGTATCGATGTGATTCAATGTATGACTTTTTAATGTCTCTGAATTAGGCGATTCCTTCAATACTGTTTGGGATACTTATGCTTGTCGATGTATCGCTTTAGAAAATTAAGCTCCCTGTTAACTACAGCTAGTTTGACAAAAAAACCGCAGGAATTTGTCTGATTCGTTCACTGTTACAGGCGTAAACAGCGAAGAAAATTTTCTATTCGACGATTCATTTTCATAGGCTGTACAATCGTAATTATATTTAACAAAGAAATCATAAGACCAATCAGACATTGGTAAAATTTGTCCTCGAAAAACGTATTACGTAATGTTATAACATCATATACTAAGTCACATCGATGTCATCTGCTCATGCTTACCCAAACTTGAGCGAAACATATCACAGAGAACCCATGCTTTGTATGAACTATCTGATGATGAACGAGAAACGTTTCAGGATTATGTAATATATATACCTTAGTGAGTAGTGAAATATACTCACTATTATGTGATTATAAGTGTGAATTTAGCTTGAAATTATCCATTAATATATGGTTCTCTAACTGATATCGATCCGTGATCAACTCGTAAAAACATAACTAACCCTTACAAACCAAACTATAGAAAGTTAATCTGATGCTCGCTAGTGACTTGCTACAGGTTGGAGTTTCCTGAGTTCTAGTGAGAAGTCGTGACCAGTGAGGTTCAATTAGATGTCACGTGTTTAGATGGATGTCCCATCAACGACAATGATTGGGGTCGCGCTAAATCACGAATTAGTAGAAGTTTGAATTCATGAGCCATGGAACCGGGCCCCAATGGCTGAATGGTATACGAGCTAGCTTGCCTTGTAATCGGAAGGTCCTGATTTCGAATCCCGGTGGGTACGTACTTCTGATGATTTCAAACTAAGATGAAATAGCAGCTGTCCAGTACTGCTTGGTTTTCAATGGTTCTCTAACTGATATCAATCCGTGATCAACTCGTAAAAAAATATTAAACAGATTAATCTTCAATGATATAAACGAAGCAGTGAACTTGTACTTTCTACTTGTTAAAATGAGTCAGGAGAGTTTAACTACATACCCAATATATGAGATAGCATGTTAGCTTTGAAGATATTCAAAGAAGTATTATCCAGAGCTAATCTATCTGAGAAAAAATATTGACAGTTATCATTCTCAACATTTTTATCACAATAAATTAATTAAGCAGCAATATCAGTGTTGTGACCAGATCACAAACTGATACCAAAATCCACTCAGGAGAAGGTAACATTAAAAATAAGGTAATTCTAAAGAGCGTTCCCAAAAAGAGAGTAAGTTTTTGATTGAACACTAGTAACTAGTATGATGTGTCTAGTCCTTTCTTTGATGCAGACTGTGAATTTTATCAGCCAGATTTGCAATGTGGCCCCCATTCTAAGTAGCTCGCTATCACAGTGCACATTGATTTGATGTTATTAGATGGTTGAAGGCAGTCGGCCACAGGAAGCCTTGCTTCACCTAGGTTTCGTGCTAGTTTGCACTCGTCATCAGCACTGGGTGACGCAGGTTCGAATCTCAGGAGGGACATGAGTTCTTTAAAGGTTGCAGCTACGCCTCACTGACTGACTGGTGAGTGTCAACTACCACGAAACCTGTGTGAAGGTGAAGCAAGGCTTCCTGTGGCCGATTGCCTCCGACCATCTAACAGTAAGTTTTTCTTAATGCGTTATAATGTATTGTCCTTTACATTCCCAGTGGAATATAGGGCTTCAAGCTATAGGCTTGAAGCTTCTGTGGCAATGGTGATAATTTTTACAGGACGGAGTTGCTAGTCTTATGCCCGATCTTCCTTCTTCACCAGTCTTACTACTGACTTAGCGTGGTTAAGGAGTGCCTTGGTGGCCAGGAATCGAACCCCGGACCACATGAGGTGTGGTCGGCGAGCCTTCTACCGCCGTGCGACTGAAGCACAAATATGGGAGTGAAACAATTATATCACTGATACAGAATTCAGATAAGTTCATTACATACTTAAGTCTACTCTGAAAATGTCCCCTAAGAAGATAATGAAAGCTGGGCGATTAAACCAGCTAGATCAGACAACAACAACAACAAGAACACCAAGATCAAATCATCCCTCTCATTTACAAATCTTCACCGTGATTTAGAATTACCTATATCATCTGTTTCAAACTTTAAAGATTTTGTTTCAACACATCTAGCTTGGATTACCATTCTCTACGGTTCTATCTCGTTATATAAGCCAGTAGATATATATCGTCAACAAAGTGCTACATAGTTAAAAAAATGAAGTAAGATTATCTTCAAAATGTATTGTTTAAGTATATCATAACACTTATGAACATACAAATGTTGATTTGCATGGATCTGATTTGATTGGTCGCAGGATTTCATATCCCTGTAAACCAACACTCGAATATCAGTCTGATGCTCACTAGAGACTGGCACCATTACGGTAGGTAGTTGCCTGGGCTCTAGTGGGAAGTCGTGACCAGTGGTGTGCAGTAGGCTGGATGTAAAAACAGATACTCGCCGCCGAAAACACTGGCTAGTGACAATCGCTCTATGTCGTGAATCGGCTGTAGCTGGAATTCATGGGCTTGCCATTGGGTCGGGTCACAGAGTCTAATAAATGGTCTACGAGCTCGCCTTGTAAATGGTTGGCCCTGGGTTCGAAATATAGCGGTGGATGCGTGCTGCTGGAGAGTCTTAAACTAGTGCGATGAAACAGCCGTTCAGTACTCCCTTCAGGTTTTCCAGTGACTCCCTAACCGATGTCAGCTCACGCTGAAGTCCTGTAACCAATCAACCAAATCCCTACAAACCAATATTTTAATATCTTATATTTACCACAACAACAAAATGCAACTAACTAATTCATCCATTCAGTTGTTACATTAAAATAATTCAAAATGGAATATCAGTACAGTGTTATACTGGAATACAATCATTAATTTAGTCCGAATGAAATCAGCCAAAGAAAATTTGTGGAAATTTAATCAGTCCGTCTACCTAACAGGTTATACTCACCGTTGAAATGATGACAAATAATGTAAGAGTATACATTTTGATTGGTTAGCATACCTTTTTGTCGATTAGATAACTTTTTCTATAGTTAGTTTTTAAGGATTAGTTTTGTTTCACACGGGTTGATCATGGACTGTTATCAGGTAGAGAACTGTTGAAGACCAGCACTAGAGTACTGGACAGCTGTTTCGTCAGCCTAGTTTTGGAATCATCCGCAGTACGCAGCCACTGCCAGCGTTTGAACCCAGGACCTTCCGGTTACAAGGCCAAGGGGCTCGTATACCATTCAGCCACTGGGACCCAATTCAATGGTCAGTAAATTTTTTCCTTCACGTTCCCAAGTGGGGCATAGGGCTTCAAGCTAGAGGCTTGAAGTTTCTGTACCAGTGTTTATTTTACAGGATGGGGTTGCTAGCCTCATGCCCAACGTTTCCGCTTTGCCAGCACTATTTCTGTCTTAGAGAAGTAAAGGAGTGCGTTCGTGGCTAAGGAAAGAACCCAGGGCCATTGCATGGTCGGCGAGCGTCCTAACCGCTATGCCACCGACTCACATGGTCAGTAAATGAATCCTAACTTCTAGCAATTTCTTGATTTAGCTCGACCGTAACCGATATCGTCGATGGGATATCCATCCTCACACGTGACTGGATTGGCTAGCATACCATTTTGTCGATTAGATAACTTTTTGTAATATGTAATGTGAAATTATCACTAATCTATTAATTGTTAAAGCATGAGATTTTACGTAAAGCAATTCCATGTTGTAACACACAATTCATTTCAAAGAACTGTGGTTTAATGATTTCGATTTTAATTATCCCTGACTTCAATAAAAGACCGCTTCTTTGAATCCTAAGAAGAATCCAATTATTTGTAATCATAATTTTACTACAGAAATGCAGAAATGAATCATAAAAATTTTAGTCGAGTAGGGGAAAATATATTTGAATGAATATAAACCGAGTAATACTTACCATTTGTAAATGAATTTGGTGAGGAATGAGCTAGTGGATAGTCATTTTCACATCGATTGAAATGAATATCGTGACCATGGTGATCGAATTCGCCAATATTAGTTTTTCCTGTATGTGGTTTTACTTGTACAATGTTTTGTGTACTATAAGGATTTTCAGATGACGTAATTGTTGTATCAGAAGTAAGCACTGCAGTCTTTTGTTCTGTGTAAATAACTCTATTTGTCGAACAATCATGATTATTATATTCAGAATTTCGATCAGTTAAGCTGACTATTCGATTCATTTTTAGTAGGCTTTTTTGCCTTGTGTTTGATGCATTTATGTATACATGACTGTCTCCGTTGTATCAGAATTAAAATTCAGTTTTTACTTCAATTTGTGTATTATTTATCGCCGTAGAAAGGATGAGAGAGAAAAAAATGCTTATGTCAATCTTCATCCCTGATATATATGAGTAAATCAGCAAAAGGAATTAACTCCATGTGTATGGGATAAAATTCTATGGGTAGGAAGAATAAGTGACAAGGAACCAATAAGAATTCGAGAATAAATCATTCATACGATTGGTCAGTTATATTGTTCATGTTCATTCCTCGAAGTAACCAACCTTATTAATAGGGTAGATTTATCTGCGATTAGATGTATGTGGGTATGTGCTTGTGTGTGTGTGTATAGGATTTTCTGTTCTACTTACCTAATTTATCTATATATAAAGGGAGAGTAAAATTCTATGGGAATACGAGGAAGAAATTAAATCAAAATTAATTCAAACGAATAAATGTTTACCGATTGTAAAAAACGGATTCAGGCGGACATCTGTTGAAAAAGACAACAAAGACGATTAGTGTTTCAATCAAATGCATTTACAGACATCTTAGTAGTGTTACATGTGGTCGTAGCAGAAATATTTTACTTGTTGATTATCAAAACAATTAGTCCCTTTGATAAATTTGAATAAGGCATTAAGAAGACAAATTTCGCGAGACGATATCCTCATTTCGTAGTTTCTTTACAATTACTTTACAACTAATATGGTTAACCACATCTCCAAAAGGCAGCTTCTGTACCAAAGAAAGCTATCTTCATTAAACTACCATTCAAAGACGACCAGATTATGGAGTTGACAGCTCAAAGACTTCGGTCAGCCATCAAACGCACATTCTACGTCGCATATCTTTTTCTCACTTGCCGAATATTTTCGATCCCTGTACCTACGATTAAAGGATGAGACTTAGTGAACTCTACTTCAAACTGTATCTACAAGTTCACCTGCAGTTGCAGTGACACTTATATAGGTAGAATTAATAGAATGTTCCAATTTCGTCGAAAAGAACATCTTCCAAAATGGTTATTAAAAGACAGAGAGAATCCCAATTCAATTAATCTGAATAGAAATCCATCATCATCCATCGCGAAGCATTTATTAATGTCAGGTCACAAAATCAATCATTACTAATGACTGCTTGTTATGTACTCGTCGCTAAATTATTGTTATGGACTGGTCGAGAAACTAATAGTCCTGACGCGAGAAGGCGGAAATCAGAAGACCACTAGGTTTGCGATGATACTTCTATTGTCCAAACACAAGGAGACGAAAATAAATGGTCTCACACCAAAGTGGTAAGTAAGTAAAGTAGTTCACACAGAATGTGTGAACGAAATATATATATAACAAAATATATATAGCAGACATGTCAAACAACCATATATGGATATATGTCACTAAGCAACGGACTGTCAACAAACACTCATATTATATATAATATAATATAAGGAGAATACACATTATTAAAGGAGACAAGTTCATACAAGTGAAATGGTCACAGACTAAGCCAGCAAACAGAAAGAGAGACCAACATACACACACACATAAATATATATGTGGATACATATCACTGCTTCACCATTGTTTCACCATGTAACTCTAATTCAAGATTCTTAAAGTTGATGGAAGCACTTTGGATTAATCAGATATAGCCTAAACTGTGTGTACAAAAAACAATAGACTTCAACCTTCGTCTACCATGAACTGACTACTTGAACTACTTAAATATAAGTGGCCATCAGTATGTACTTTGGTTTTTATAACTGAGTAATTGTCATGATCTTTATTTTATTACTGTTAATCATGTTTGTAGCGTCGGAGGCACAGCGGTTAGGACGCTCGCCAACCATGCATATCGTCCGGGTTTCGATCCCCGGCCGACGCACTCCTTTACCTCGCTAAGCCAGAAATAATGCTGGTAAAGAGGAAAGGTTGGGCATGAGGCTAGCAACTCTATCCTGTAAAAACAAACACTGGTACAGAAACTTCAAGCCACTAGCTTGTGGTTCTATGTTCCACTTGGGAACGTGAAGGAAAAAAAATCATGTTTGTTGATTATCGTCTAGTGCTAGAAACAGGAAGAGGATTTTCAAGTGTTCATTTTCAAGGATTTGATTGGTTACAGGTTTGATCACAAGCTTAGACCATGTGGACAGCTGTTGAGAAACCATGATGTACTCGACAGCTGTTTCGCCCTAGTTTGCGACTCTTCAGTAGTACAGGCCCACCGGAGCTTCAATCCAGGACCTCTCGGTTACAGGAAAAGTTGGTAGACTGTTCAGCCACTGGGACCCGGTCCTATGGTCCGTGGATTTACTTCTGCCAAGTCGTGATGTATAGCGCAACCACCAGCCAGTGTCATCAGTGAGTAATAGTTCTTTTTTCTGACTTGGTTGCCGCATTTGATCACGACTTCTGACTAAAACTCCAGGTAACTTTCTGTATGAAGCCAGTCGCTAGTGTGCTTTAGATCAACTTTCAAGGAGGAAAAGGTGAGAGGGATTAGAATTTGTCGTACAGTACCAGGAAGAATCTTATGATAGAAACGATGAGTAATTTCATTTCCACCTTGAAATGTAAAGCATTGCTAAGGAAACAAAGTAAATGAATGATTAGTACTAACTTGAACTTTGTTTGCGGCGTGTGCTAATGACAAGATTTATAAGAAGTATGAAGGTACATATATAACTATGTGTATTATTTGCAAGAATATTGAATAGCAGGGAGATGGATTTAATAAACGATATTTCTAAAACAACATGCAAAACATCAAAGGAAGATAAGGTAGCATAACACGAAAGGTATGTGCAAGTTTTGATTCCAATATACAGCAGACGTATTTTGCCTATATCTGTACATCGAGGTGCCTACAAATAATTCCGTTACCAAATTCTCTTGGGTTCTAACGTTGCATTTGGCGTCACTGTCTTCGGATAGTGAAGATACAGCGGCTTGCTGCTTTCGAAGAAAGGGACACGCGGAGCCTTTTACAGGACTTCGAAGTTGTCGCTGAGCTGGTGGGCGTCCAGGATCCGATGGCGTAGACGGTTGTGTTGGGGGCACTATTAAGGGGTCCAGCAAAGGCAGCATACAACAGTGTACAGTGGTCAGGTGGATGGGAGACCTGGAATGTATTCGTGGAACGATTGCTGGTGGAATTCAAAAGCCTAACCAACGGACTGTGGGCAGTCCAACAGTTCTGTATCACGAAGCCGGGGTCGAAAGGAGACCCGCTTGTACTGGTGGTGAAGACGACAAATATACATCATCGCACGCTTTCTACAATTAATAAAGAATTAAAGACACAGTTGCTGGCTTCCGAGTTTATTGACAGTGTTCCAGAACAAACTTTCCAATTGGTCAACGCTGCACAACCTATAGGCATTGATGATCTTGAAAAGTGAATCACCAAAATTGAACCATTGAAAACAGAAAATCAAACATTCTCAGGGCGAAGTAGTGGTGCCACGAATGAGTTCCAGGAAAGACCAGTGCCTTGAATGCGGTAAACAGGAACACTGCCCAGAACGAAGGAAAAAAAACTTTTCAGACTGTATCCAGTACTTTCTTTCTCTCCTGTATAGCTAGGAGTATTATGGACAATAGAAAGGGGGGTCATGTATTTTAAGGTCCTCATAAATGGTAAAGAAGTCGTATGTCTAATAGACATAGATGCGACAGCCTCAGTAATATATAAGGATCTGTGACAGACCGTGTTCACTGACAGTTCAAACGGTAGGTGGATACCTGTTGAAAATTACAGGTATGTCAACCTCTAACGTCCACATTAGGAGTCGCAAAGTGACTTTCCCGTTCATTTCTATGTCTCAGTTACTGATAGGACCCAGCATAAAATAGTATGTCATCCTTTCTCATGAATTGGGTGATTTATCTTGTCATGGTGCTACTATGTTAATGTTTCATTTCTCACGCATATTTTGACTTAGTGTATGATCAATTCATCGTCTTTTTGTCTCACCTTGTGGTCTTTGTCGGATCGCCAAACAATGAGAATAGCGATTGTCAGCCAATAAGAACAATCCATTCTCACCGTAGTGAACCGACTTTACTGTGGTATAGAAAATGTATAAATACCATGTGTTGTTTCCTAAAATATGTAATATAATACTATATCTTACAGTCACAGGTCAGCCTTTGTTTTTTGATATTTGCGTGGCTCAATGAATCGGAAGGTACAACGCACAAAGAGACGTATTAACTTACCAGTGGAATTTATTACCGTTATAGTAATTAGCAGACTCAGACATAACAAAGTAGCGATGGGATTTATTCAATTCAGTATCAGTTATAATAGTTACGCCGAATAATATTTGGGGCTTATGCTCTGAGAGAGGTTGGTGAGGTAATTAACACGAAGGAAAGGGCTGTGATTACGAGGTACGGACCTGTCAGCATGTATAAGACAAGCGAGATAGCAGGTCATAAGGCGTCGAAACCACAGAATATGACAGTGTTAGTCAGAGAATACGATCATTTGTTCACTGGAAACGGAGACACTCACGGTTACTGTGATAACGTGGGGCATGGAATCACAGTGACTGATCGGAAAGTGACGCCATGCATAAGGCGAAGAGTTCCATATCCTTTAGAAGGAGAAGTTGAACAACACTTCAAGGAGATTCGGTAGGATGGTACAACTGAAGAAGCTGACATCCCCCATAGCTCTCCAGTCCGTTTATTGAAAAAAGCAAATTGGAATTAATGTTTCACTGTGTGATAGATCTAGTAAACAAACTAATATGAAATTACTTACTACCACAGTGCTCAAGTTTTACACATATATTAATATTACAGATTCTGCGTTGATTTCCAAAATACGACCCTGTGTCATGCCAACTGCAGCAGAAACCCTGGATTGCCAACAAAGTGTACATTTGTTTACACTTCTCGACTTGCGGTCATAATACTTGCGGAAACCAACAAAACAAGAAGAAGTA